ACTTCAGGAGCCGTCCCTGGATGGGGGGGTCCTGTCAGAACCCAAGTTCCCAGGCCAGCCTCTTCCAGCTAGCCGGCCTCCACTAATACCACAACTCCCAGCATGCCCCTCGCGGGGATGATGGGAGTTGTTCCCTCCACAACGCACCTACGTCACAAACCGCGGCTATAAACGGAAGTCGCCTTTCCAGCTCACCACTCAGTCATCGTTTCTTCAGATTCATGATCAGAGTTTCCAACCTACCGATCCATCCCACGAACTATCAGCTCATAGTAAGTTATCTTACTTACTTCTGGAAAGCCCGGCATTTCCGTGTCACTTCGTTGACGCTCGAACGCTCGGGGGTTTCTTAGATTGAGCCGGCGTTTCACCGACGTTCCCACTTCCGCATCTGTGAAACCACGCTCACTACAAGCTCAACTCCCAAATCCAGCCGACCAGTCTGACAGCCACCCCATCAAAATTTTCTGGAGGTGCCTTTGGTGCCGATGTTACCTGGTTTTAGCTCTTTGCTTTGCCTCCAAAGACATAACTCTCTTACTTTTTCATGCTCCATCATGATGTCAACAATAAAGTAAAATTCGTCTTCTTTTTGTGCTTTTCATTGACAGTTGGTGACTTGAATAAGCTAACTGTTAGCCTTTACATAAGCTACCGACCCACTAGACAACTATTGGTTTAAAGCAGGAAAAGATCTACAACTGGTGTTCCTACCTGAACCACAACCACTGTTTTGTGCAGCTTCTGGTCAGCAGAGGGCTTCAGGGTGCTGTCCAATGCAAAGCTGCTCAAGTTTAAGGCTGAAGAATAACTGGAAGCAATAACTTTAAGTGTTAACACTTTTCAGTGTTGCTTTAACAGTCTACTTCTAAAAACAACATTCTTGTTAATGTTCGCCTTATGATGGCATTGGTAATGGTAAAACGTGTATACGGCTTGTATTTGACATAGCACCATCTAAAATTCCAGAACTCCCCCAAGGTGCTTTACAACACAGTCATTCACCCATGCACACACACATTCACACCGTTGAATGTAGCCACGGCTGCCCTGGGGCACACTGGCAGAGGAGAGGCAGCAGAGCACCAGCGCACCCGTCCCTCCGACCTCCACCAGTATTGTGGGTTAAATGTCTCGCCCAAGAACTCAACAGCAGCACTGTGTCTAGAGCTGGGATCGATCCTACAACCCACTCTCCCTCCTGAGCTACAGCCGCCCATAAATAATAATAAGTAATAGTCATTAAAACCATTTATTCTTTGAAGAACCTGAAGTTGTGCAGAAAATCTGATGTTTTGCCATTTTTTTTTTTGAGAACTGCCTTTCCTTGAAGAAAGCTGGAAGTAATTCAAAATAATTGTAGCAAAAATGTCAGTCTGTATTTTTGGGAGGAACGTGTGTGTGGTTGTTGTTTTGGTGCCTTTTTTAAGAAATTAGGAAAACAAGTCTATTTTTAGATAATTAAATATTTCAACCTTTCTTCTTGATTAAAGAAATAAGCGTGCCAATGTAGCTACTGCCATGAATTCCAACATCAACTTTGTAAGAATCTAAGTTTAGATTTAGCTGCATAAATTATATAAAAGCTGCAAAGAGAGCAGAGACAAAACATAATGTTTAAACAGCTGCCAGTGGTTTGTTAAGGTCACCATGGAAACTACAGGCTTCTCTCTGTTTCACCCTGATGGCAGCTTTAATGAGATGCAGGAGATAACGCTAACTAAAAAGGGAGCCCTACTTGGTGAAGGACCAATATGTTGATCTGGAAGGCTGTGGTGGTCCCACTTGGGAATTTTTGTGTTTCTACATTGTTTTTTTTAGGATATATGACAAGTTCAAAAAGGCTCAAACTTCCAGTTTTGAAGTGAAGGTTTTTTCCTGAAAATGAACAGAATTCTGTGGAAGATTGCGGTGCGCTCTATGAATTTAGAGGGGATTTAAAAGAAGACAACAAGTCCCAATGCAGCAAGAAAATCAGTGAATGAAAGAAGACAAATGTGTCTTTCTTTTGGTGTGTAGTGTATTTTTTCACTGATGAAGTTGTGGGAGTAAGAGGAGTTTATTAGCAAAAGCTTGGACAATTTGGAACGGATCAAGACTTGGTGGTTTTTGTTTGTAATCTTAAAAAGTCAGTTTACAAACTTTCATCCATTTTCATCCAATAATCCGGAGTCGGGCCGCGGGGGTAGCAGCCTAAGCATAGAGGCTCGGACTTCCCTCTCTCCAGCTACTTGGACCAGCTCCTCCGGGGAAATCCCAAGGAGTTTCCCTGGCCAGTTGTGAGCCCAGCATGTCCTGGGTCTTCCTTTAGGTCTCCTCTCGGTTGGACGTGCCCAGTAAACCTCACCATTGAAGTGTCCAGGAGGCATCGTAATCAGATGCCCGAGCCATCTCAACTGGCTCCTCTTGATGTGGAGGAGCAGCGGGTCTACTCCGAGCCCCTCCCTGATGACCGAGCTTCTCGCCCTATCTCTAAGGGAGAGCCCAACCACCCTGCGGAGAAAACTAATCTCAGTCACTTTTATCTGTGATCTTGTTATTTATGTCACTACCCAAAGCTCGTGACCATAGGTGAGGGTAGGAACGAAGATCGACCATTAAATCGAGAGCTTTGCCTTCCGGCTCAGATCCCTCTTCACCACGACAGACCGGTACAACGCCCGCATCACTGCAGATGCAGCGCCAAATGTCTTTGCACGCGATTCCCCATTGAACTGCGCATTTTGATGCAAAAAGCTGCCGAATGTAAACCGGTTGAAGTTTGTGGCAGAATTACAAAGCAGTACTAAGGGTACTTTAATGCTCATCCATTGTTTGTTGCTTTTAACAAAAACAACACTTGAGTAAGAAACCACCTTGATTGCAGATTATTGTCACTATATGGCTCCAACCCCTGAGATATTTAATCAGATCGGAAGCGGGATCCTCATCTGTATGTGGAGCATGTGGACATTACCTTGTCTTTTCTCTGCCTGAGAGGAGTCGAGGGCAGTGTGACGGCTCAGCGGAGAATGAGGAGGTGGTTAAAGTTGTCGCTGTTCTGAGACTCACAGCTGCTCCCTCTTAGAGGTGAGAGCACAAAGGCTCTTTGATAAGAGCGTCTCTGTGCTGCTGATACATCATCAGACCACCCCTGCCTCCCCTCCCAAATGCACTAGCAGGCACAATCATCCCCCTGATGCCACATAACTTCATTCACACACCTCAGAGGCTTTTGCTGCCTTTTCTGGGTCACATTGCAGAAAGGACCCACCACTCATCACATTTTAGGACTCTTAATCCATTCTTTCAAAGGAAACGGAGCAGGGAGGGGGGAGTTGTCATTGTGGCAGTGGAGTAATGAGTAATGTGATTAGGAGGCGTGCTGGAGTGCTGCTCATTCTGCTCATGGAGCTGAGTGGAAGGAGCCAGTGTCAGTAAACAAGAGCTCCCTGTACTCCCCTCAGAGGGCTCTGATCCAGGCTATGAGGCCACACAAGGTGGGCGGTCAGGGGAAATATCCTACTGGCCTGTCTGTCTGTCCTGCTTAAATGTTTAATCACCATACTTGAACCACTGACTGATCTGGACTCAGATCAAACCTCATGTTGACTCTCTGAAGGCTGAATACAGTGAGCATGCTCAGAATGAGTTGGCTGAAATATTCATGGGTTCTTATATAATTTTCATCACCCTTTTGATAATGTCAGGAATCTGTTATGTTATATGCAAAGATGCTATGCAGGGCACCCTTTCTATTTCCAGTCCCGCTTTTTTTGTACCTTTAAAAGGACAAAAAAAAAATCTGAGCCAAGAACACAAGGCTGCAAAGGGTTGCATCCTGTTTTAGTTTCCCTCCGCCCACATGATCATCAGCCTCCAAAAGTCTGAAGTATACTTCCCGATCTGTGTTTTTAACACATACATTTATTGTTAATTCACCCCAGTTTCACTAAATGTTCCCAACAAGTGCCACGTTTACAGCACTCCATTTTAGAGGCTTTGAACCTGCTTTAGAGCAGCGCTGTTATAAAATTGTCTGCAGGGAAAGAAAAAGACCCATCAAAGTCTTTAGCCCTAACTGATGGAAATAAGAGGCCATCTCCAGAATGGTTCGAGCTCATTTGGTGCCTGTAAGCGTTGTGTGTGTGCATGCTGTGCATGATTGGATGATTAGGTTTGATTGTGTGTGCAAGGGAAGGGCGTGTTGAAGAGAGACAGACAATAAGCGAGATCATTAGCAGGATCTGAGACATTCGTTTTAGTTTTCACCACTTTTGAAAACGAACACATTCGCACAACCCTTTACTAGGCGCGAAGCAACCAAAACAGCTGCATGTTAGCTCTCACAAGATACATTTGTCCTATTTCTGTTTTAGTCTGCCGACTTTTCACAAACAGGAAGTGGTCGGGACACAAATAAAATGTATCTCTAAACTCCTGAAGTGTGCTTTTTTTTCCACCTAGCTCTTAGAGATGGGTAGGACCTCATGAACCTTAATTAGCTGTTCAAATTTTCTAAAAAGTTAGTTTTTGTTCCTGAATGAAAATGTTTAGAAACCATCAACACTAAAGCCAGGATGGAGGAAGAAGCCAAAATCACACGAGGACAAGTAGTTTCAGGGCAAGGGTAACTGCTATATTTATGCACGTTTAGTTCAGACTGGTCACAGTTTTTTTTGTCTCCCCAGCATGTGCTGTCATACTGTCAGCTCTGTAAATTTGATGCCATTTGTTAGTCCCCCACCCCACCCATTGATTTTCCTATAGCTGCCTGCCGGTAAGTGCTATCCGAGGTCTCTCATATCTGAAAGCCGGACAGAGTAATCTAGACGCCACAGGAAGTCCGATATATTTACGGAAAGTTCTCCCCGTGTTCCCTGAATTGATCACATGGACACGAGGGTCCAGTAAGGAACTCTTGTTTCAACCTCTGTGTTGGATAGAAAATATTTCATTGCACAAAAAAACTTATCCATCAAAGTACATCAACTCTTAATTGTATTCTCTTCCCCCTCCAGCCTGCCACATAGTGTCAAGGCGAGCCTGTCTCTTTCTCCGTCTGGGCTGGGACGGGCAGGCAGTGGTGGGGGCTCCCCCACATCCAAAACAAGCTATTGCGGAGGGGTCCCAGTGGAGGACATGCAGGCGCTGGCCATCAACTCTCTGTCTGCAGCAGATGTAGCCAAACAATACGAGCACATCCGTGAACTGGGGAAAGGCACATATGGCAAGGTGGACCTGGTGGCGCACAGGACACAAGGTAAGTTATTCAAAGATATGACCAAATCTTTGTCTAAATGTCATTTATTTGCTTCATCAGTGGAAAAAGAGAATCAGTAAGTTTGCTGGCACCTTTTGCTTGTTGATTTCTTATTGTCATAGGCACGAAAATGGCACTGAAGTTTGTCACGAAGAACAAGACGAAGCTGAAAAGTTTCCTACGAGAGTACAGTTTAACGGGCTCACTCAGCTGCAGCCCTTTCATCATCAAAGTCCTCGATGTGCTTTTTGAGACAGAGGACAGCTACGTGTTTGGACAAGAATACGCCCCCGCTGGAGACCTTTTTGACATCATACCACCACAGGTAGTGTCATCAGCCTTCCTTCAACCAATCATCGTCCCCACCCAAACTGAACAGCTCCAATCAGGCTCAGTGTTCAGATGCAGCAGTTTTAACAAGCTCTCCTGGGATTGGAGTGTTCATTCTGGGCTTCTTTCTGCACATAGCACCCACATTGCATTTGATGCATGGGGACTGGTGGACTTCAAGAAGGATTAAAAACCATGGATCTTTTTTTTGTTTTCCTTTTTAGAGCATATAACTTATATATGTGCTTTTAAACATTCATTCAATGCCTACCTTTAAGCTTCTTCACTGTGAGAGTTTACATCTTTGCCCTTTTGTCTGTCTTATAGGTGGGTCTGCCTGAGGAGATGGTCAAACGCTGCATGCAACAGCTGGGCTTGGCCCTGGACTTTATGCATAGCAAGAGTTTGGTACATCGGGATGTGAAACCTGAAAATGTTCTTTTGTTTGACCGCGAATGTCGCCGCATCAAACTAGCAGACTTTGGAATGACCCGACGGGTGGGCTGCCGTGTGAAACGGGTGAGTGGCACCATCCCCTACACGGCACCAGAAGTGTGTCGAGCTAACCGTGCAGAAGGGTTCCTTGTGACCACCAGTCTGGATGTGTGGGCTTTCGGAGTGCTGGTCTTCTGCATGCTGACTGGCAATTTCCCTTGGGAAGCAGCGATGCCAGCTGACGCTTTCTACGAGGAGTTCCGGCGCTGGCAGAAAGCAGGTTGCCCGGTGGGAACGTACCCGTCTCAGTGGCGCCGCTTTACAGATGATGCTTTGCGGATGTTTCAGAGGCTGCTTGCATCTGACCCAGACAAACGCTGTGGGGTCAAGGACATCTTTTGCTTCATCAAATACGAGCTGGTCAGCGAGCTCCGGCGCAGAGCGTCTTACCGAGCAAAACGAGGCGAGAGGTCAAGCTCGGGAGTGTGTACTGGCAGTTGCTCCTCCTTGTCGTCATCGCGTTCCTCCCACAGACACCCCGATCCATCCACCCCTCCAGGGACGTCCTGCCTCCGCCCAGCTCCACTTAAACGTAGCGTCCTCTCTGACCCAGTGTCTCCCAGAGAGGAATCCGGACAGCACCCGTCTCCAGGCCGAGAAAAGAACAAAAGCCAGATGGTGATGGCGACAGCCATAGAAATCTGTGTGTGATGATGCTAACATTAGCCCTGAAAAAACAGATGGATTTTCACAGCAACAACAAGCCACGAGGCAATGTTAATGACTACCACGGAGACTCTGTGAGAAAAGGAGAGGGACTAAGACTTTGGAAGAGATTCTCAGGGTCCTGATCCGAGCTGTGGAACTGGACATCACCAATCAGTGGACATTTGGACAACACATGCTGGTATTCAATGGGATTTCAGTTTTCATTTGTGACCAAAGACTTATTCCTCTGCAGAGAAGCCATGTAGGCAACATTTGACAGTTAATCATTCCCCCAATCTCACATTGGTGTTTTCTCCCCATTACACTGTGGTGGTGCTGAGTACTTTATACTTAATTTCACTCCATGTCTGTACTTCAGTGGTACGTTTTGGCACTAGGTAGGCTAAAGTAACTGAGAAAGGCTAGTAACCACACTGTCTTTTCTCACGCTTCCTTCTAAGTTCTAATGCATAAAACCCAACGTGACCAAGATAAAGATGAATAAAAACGTATAATCACAATGTAGCATTTTGTAAGAGATGTGTTTTTCAAATAGGTGCCTCAACTGAGTGGTTTTAATGAAAGGCATCAACTCAGGACACACTGGAGTATCAGTTACTGTTTTTCATTGGTGGATAATAATTTAAAAATTGGTACCTATGAACAACTCAGTAAGATTCTTTTAAAAATGAAACATTAGAAAAATAGAGTGTGTTTCTTCTGACAAAAAATGGACAACGAAATGGTGGTGAGATGCTCCTTGTGCTTTGAGAGAGAGAGACAGAGAGAGAGAGAGAGAGAGAGAGAGAGAGAGTGTGTGTGTGTGTGTGTGTGTGTGTGTGTGTGTGTGTGTGTGTGTGTGTGTGTGTGTGTGTGTTACTGTGTTTAAATGCTAAAGCACAAGATTTTTGTAAGAAGCTTATAGAGAACCGTGGCTATGTTGTACATACCGTGATATTTCTAGGAGTTCACCATAAAATCAGGTAGTTCCATGTAGCTGTACTGATTTTCTACAACAGTAATGGGTTTTCTGGTGTTAAGGTAACTGTTGGGGTCAACGCACTAGATGTAGCAACATCACCGGAATATTGTTAGAAATACAACCAATGAGTGTCTGATCTCAACGTTTTGTGGTTGATTTAACACGGTAGCAGCTGCTGTTTTGGTTTATCTCAAGTCGATCTGGTGGTTTTACTTTTTAAATTTGACACACATCATTGATCATATTCCTGCAATGACCTGTGACCTTTACCCAATCGTGAGCATCCATTGTTGCTTTGAATTAAAAAAATTTCACAGACTCAGTGAAGTCTAATCAGAGCCGTGTTGAGGGTTGCTCAGAACATGCTGTCTCAGTCCTTGGTTTAATTTGGTCTTGTGGCTTCTCTAGGGTGTAATCCATCCTAATGAATCACCGGAATAACAGAGCCCTGGCGTTTATTGCTTGGGAAGATGACCTCCGTGTGTTGATCCTGATTGAACGTGACCGGCGCACACGGATCAGCCCCAGGTTTCGTCAAGATGCAGATAATTGCACCGAATGGCTTTTACAAATGCACCGGTACATTTCACACTTATGTCTGTCAGGTTTTTCTTTTTTCCACTCTCTACCCATGACAGCTTATCTCCTCCGTCGCCGTAGTGACAGCGCTGGGAGTTTCTCAGGTTCAGTGTCTGTCCTCTTCTTGAGGATTGGGTCTAATTGAACACTAATGAGAACTTGTTGCCCACTCCCTCCTCCTTCCAGTCATGTGCAGCTCCACATGACAGTTGCTTAGCTTATTATCCAGAATGACACATTTCAGCTGAAACACATTTTTCTGCACTTTATGAGCAACTCGTTATGCAATCTCATTAGCTCCAAAGCTGAAGATGCTTAATCCTCTTTGATTGAGCTTGAAGTGATGTAAGGATGAATAGTACACTGAAAAAAATGTATTATTTTTAAATATTAAATAGTAGTTTAAAAAAAAGTCTAACTAAGCCACAAAAATTGTATAAATTTGATGCAAATGTGTGAAAATTATTAACAACTATAAGAAATGGTTTAAATAAAAATAGATTAGATGCAGTGCACAATTGATGCAGATTCTAGATTTTATTGCAGATAAGAAAAATTGTAGAGTACAGGTGAAAACATGGTCATTTTGTTAAAACAGTTGGGATTTATTTTCTACTTATTTAGTAAAATATAAAGTAGATGTTATTTTCCAAAGCTGACATCTAAATTTAAATAAGATAACATTTTTGTGAAGAAACAGCTAAAACTGTTCTTAAAATTAAAAAGTTCAGAGGAGTTGAAGAAACCATTTTGTGAAAACATAATTACATTTCTGTAGATTTGAATGAAAAAGTAAATTTGGAGGATGTAAGTTTTAAATTGACACTTCTGAGCCAAAATGTAAAAAAAAGCCCTTTAATAAAAGTTTGATAATAAATATGAGACATTTTTATTAAACCACTACAATCTGGTCGCAGGTTTACTCCAGTGGCCATTAATATTAATAAATATTCTTTACTTATAAAAACCCACAAAAAGTTTACAATGTTCATCAAAATGTGACCTGAATCCCTGGCGTCCACCTTGTTTCACTTTTCCTAAAGAAGACAGAAATCCTGAATTTGAAAAAAACTGTGTAATATTACATGAACTATGTATTATTTTAGCCTGCCATAAAGAATGATTTAAAAGCAGGACACCATGTGGACCAGACAGACATCGCAAAGTTATGTTTACAGAAAACTGGTTGGTTTAATCAGCTGTTACTTTTCTGGTGTCATTAGTATCATTAGACTACTCTCAGTAGAAATGTGAACTGTTGTTCTCTGTTGACTGTTAAACCTGGAATTGTAAAAATAAAGTGTTGAATTATATCTTTTTTGAACTGAGACTTTAGCCTTCCTCTAATCTACCCTAATCCAACGATGAACCCTTAATTCTGCCACAGATCTCATTTTAGAATCAAATGATTGTAAATATTGTACACATTCAGCAAAGAAAGAGGGAGAAACATGTTAATTTATGTTGAAATAAATTTATACATCACATCCTACGGCTCTCGAGGCATGATTAAAAATAGAGTGACTTTATATATATTTTTTTGTTTTAACCAAGCGTGTTGAGCCCAGCTCTGTGCAGTCCCCAGCCTATTAGATGAAGGTCAGCTTGAATCACATGCTGTTTCCCAAGGCTTTTCTTTCGTCTGCTTCACCACTGAGCCTCCAGACTGCATTAATGTACCAGCTTCCATCCAGAAAAAGCCCAATTACCACATCTGTAGATAGATAGGACTTATCTACTGTCCTCCAGAAAAAGAGCAAAGCAGTTCAAGGACAGCTGGAAGATGGCGCTGAGGATGAGACCATTGTCATCTCGCTTCCTCCTCATGGTGAGATTCGGCAGATGTGTCAGAGAGGAGGAGCTAGACCCAGTTGTGTGGATGGTGGGAGCAGGAGCTGGTGATCTGCCACTGAGCAAAGCTAATCAGTTCAGACAGGGCCAGAGAAGGGAAAGGTCAACCGTGACACGCCATTTTTGTGTAGAGAGCAGAAGACTGTCCTTTGTGGTGGTGTGATATAGTGTGTGTTCTCTGGCTACAGCAGTCAGAGTTAGAGACTGGTGTGAGTTGGCTGCAATGTTCAAAAGCACGAACAGGATCTGACAAGATCTTTAAGGAAAATTGACGTTATTATGGAAGTTCTAACGAGCACGGTTAATGAACTCAGCCAACAGCTCAGACAGACGTCACAGTAGAAACATCATTCAAAATTAAGGGATCAGATTTTGTAAAATATTCCAACAATCTCTACACTTCCTTAACATCCATCCATTTTCAGCCGCTTATCCAGAGTCGGGTCGCTAGGGCAGCAGCCTAAGTCGAGACGCCCAGACTTCCCTCTCGCCAGCCACTTGGACCAGTTATTCTGGGGGAATCCTAAGGCGTTCCCTGGCCAGCTGAGACATAGTCCCTCCAGCGTGTCCTGGGCCTCCCTTTAGGTCTCCTCCCGTTAGCACGTGCCGGGAAAACCTCACCAGGGAGGCATCCAGGAGGCATCCTAATCAGATGCCCGAGCCACATCAACTGGCTTCTCTCGATGTGGAGGAGCAGCAGATCTACTCCAAGCCCCTCCCAGATGACCGAGCTTCTCACCGTATCTCTAAGGGAGAGCCCAGCCCCCCCCCTGCAGAGATAACTCATTTTGGTCGCTTGTATCCGCAATCTCGTTCATTCAGTCACTACCAAAGTCACCATAGGTGAGGGTAGGAACGTAGGTCAACCGGTAAATCGAGAGTTTCGCCTTCAGCTCAGCTCTCTCTTCACCACGACAGACCGGTACAATGCCCGCATCACTTCACTCGCAGCACCAATCCGCCTGTCGAGAACGCGCTCCATTTATCGTCACTCCTGAGCAAGACCCTGAGATACTTTAACTCCTCCACTTGAGGCAGGACATCGCCTCTGACCTGGAGAAGGCATTCTACCCTTTTCTGATTTACTCTTTTCTATTTCCTGAACAATGTATCTATTTAATCAATAGGCCTTTTGCCTGCTTTCATCGGCTGTGTCTCTCACTGCGACAGGACGGATTATTTACTTTCAAATCTCCTCAGAGGGCCGAGTACACATCCCTACTGGCTAGCCTGGCGAACCATTCTTTATATGTGAATATATAGTCTGGCCACAAACCGTTGAAACAGCTCAACCACAAAGGTTGTTTTTCAAACAGTCTCCACACGTAACTGGCCAGCTCTAAGACCAAACAGAAAAGGACGTGTTTACGGATGTCAGTCAATAGTGCAGTTCCTCATACACCGTTGAAGAAATGGTATTTGATATAGCGCTTTCTAGAGTCCTAGTACCCCCAAAGGTGCTTTACAGCACAATCAGTCATTCACCCATGCACACACATTCACACCACAGCGATGATAAGCTACAATGTAGCCACAGCTGCCCTGGGGCGCACTGAGTCCCTTTGACCCCAACCAGCAAGCAATGTGGGTGTCGTGTCTTGCCCAAGGACACAACAGCAACATTCTCTGCCGGGAGCGGGATCGATCCTACAAAATTAATGACCAAAGTACCTCTATCTGCTCATGTCTCAAGAAAAGTTCAAGTCCAAATTGTTCACAGTTGATGCCAAAGCCGTTTCAAACGAGTGCAGATCCTGATCCGACGCCATCTTTGTATTTCTTTTCTCCGTTGCAGCTCTAGCTCGCCCAACCAACATAGAGCGCTGTGACTGGTCAGACACAAAACTGTTCAGGCCAATGGTAGACCTGCTGAGGCTACAGTGGAGAGTGGCTACACCAACCTGCAGAGTAAAATCCGTTGCTACTTCCACAGTTTGTCTACATTTCTACTAATCAGCTGCAACTTACGATTTTCTCTTTTACACTGGAGGTGAAGTTGCTTTCTAAAAGTTCCTTTTGACAGAAAAAGCAAACTTGTCACTTTTAGACCCTTCTGTTATCCAAGGTTTAGGAATTTTTTACTAAACTACTTGTAGTTTTTGCACAGCAACGATTTGGTGTTGCTCAGTTTCTATGGATTATTAACTTCAATAGGGATAGTTGTTACCGTGGAAACCCAACCGAACCACTAGCAGCAGCTGCTTTATGGTTTTGTCCTAACCTAGAAATAACATTATTAATAATTGTAATTTCACCTTCATTGGCACCCTTCCAAATGTCTTCAGAAGATTTGTGGTTTAATATTAATACTTCTACATGTTTCTGTTATCCTACAGTAGCAGGTCTTTGCAGGAGGATGATGTTTATCTGACTTGACCCCTTAACAGTTCAGGAATGCCGGTATAATCCTCAGCCTTTTAAAAAGACTCACAGCTAAACCAAATTGCTTCCCAGAACGGGAGGAAGCTGGATGTTAAGCCTTTAGCTGGTGGTCCATGAGAGTCCACAGCCAGGGAAGTGATCTCTCTGGATGCAGCTGTCTCTCTGTGTGAGCGTTAAATCCTCTGTCCTCATGCTCTCTCAGCAGATGGGTAACAGGAGGTGAGTGTGACCAATGGTGAGAACGTTGATATGTTATTGTTTCGATTCATTTTTTTTCTAAGATTTGACCACAGGATGTCCAACTCAGAATGAGATAAGCTGATTTTCAGTTTATTTTTTACAACAGAATGACTCGTTAGCATGAAATTGTTGAAATGTTGTCACAGAAAAGGAGGGGATTGCATAAGTGTATGCTGGTCATTGCATGTGGGATGGTGGATATCTTCCATCTGCTGAAATACTTTGCCTCCTTTCCAAAGCTTTCCCTCGGAGGAAGCTTGTGCCAAATCTGGCCACAGGAGTATCATTACTGAGTATTTCTGTATTTCTGCTGAACAAAAGGACATATACAATTGATGTTTATGGACATTTGCTCCAATAACAGGTTTCCAAAAACCGTAAATGAAAAGACGAAACATTGCCTTGATGTTTAGAATAAAATGTCCTTCATCCACTTTTTACAGGATTAAATAAAGAGGAAAAGTCCCTAAAGCAGAGAGTTAGGAAGTTGGGGATTGTTGGTGATGGTGCAGGATGCTGTGGGAAGGAAGTCAGCACTGCAGACAAAACTGGTGAAAAAAGACTAAATAAACCACTTCAGGAGCTTTGGTGGGAGCTAAAGGTCAAACCTTTGCACCTCCTTACTTTATCACATCAGGTTATTTTTGCACAGCAGAGAACATGTTGTCCAATATTCTAAAGTGTCTGCGTCACCTGCAGCTTCCTGTCCCTGCTCTTCCAAATGAATCACACCATCAAAGTTACTTGTGCCTTGAACTATTCTTTCATCTTTGATCCTTTGAGCTAAACAGCCACAGGATTTATTTTCTGTCTCTTCTTTTTTGGTGCCAAAAATAGAAGCTGAAGATCTGAAGGTTGTAAACTCAGTCGGGGGAAGGGGGGTGGGGGGCTGATTGGAAAGGGATGTTCTCTGCTACCTCCGTGTGACAGACAGAAAACAAGACAGGAGGAAGAATCGCAGAGCAGCAAGAGTTGTGCAGTGCGAGCGATGAGATATGACAGGTGGGAGAAATGTGTGTGTGTGTGTATGTGTGTGTGTGTCAGAGGGAGTCACACAGGGACTGCAAGCATCCAATCACCTGCAACACAACCTCACTGTGTTTAGCCTACATATGTCTACATCTGTTTTTAGGTCACAGCAAACCTATTTATGTGCAGATTTGATGTAGTAATAAAATGTTTTAGCGCGAGACACAAACTCTCAGACAGAGCGTGGTTGTCTGCCTCCATTGCTATAGCAACTGAGATGATCCTAATTTAGAGGAGCTGTGAAATTTTCTTCTTGTTTTAGAAACAAGCCCCCACGTTTCCCCTCTGTGGGGGAGACTGGCTCGATGAGAACTCGATGTTTCCTTCTGTATTTATGTTCAGTTTTGTAACAGAAACATTTTTTTCTTTGTGCTGGAGTGGGCGTATTGTTGTGGGACAAATAGCTGGATGGCAGATGCAGGAAGATGCTGCATCAAATGCTAGAAGTACACACAATTTGTGAATCACAAACTACAGGAAGTAGTCACAAAAACATACTCTGAATTTCTTTTCATGAATATGGACCTTGTACCACAGATTTTCTGTCAAATCACAGAAAAGACTAAAAATGTGCAAAACACAATATGCTTTAAAACGCCTAACCTTTAAAGATACTGTAATAGGGCCTTTTAAGTAATCAGATTTAATCGTGATCCGGGTGTTTCAGTGTGTTCGGTATTGCAGATAAATCAGTGGAAACCTGCTGCAAAATAATTAAACCAATCCTGAAATAAACACAGATCAAATCAAAGCAAAAGCAGCTGGTGTTCATTTGAGCAAAAAGACAAAGATGTAAACATAACGCTATGAGGCCAGTGTGTTTAATCAAATCATCTGATTTGGACTCTGATTGTTTCTGCATCCTGTCTCACAGCTTGAATTCCAGCATTACAGTTCTGTTGTTCACACCGTGGAACCGTGTTGATGTACTGTTCTCCGCAAGATTATTCTCTTCCATTTTTATCCAATTCATTCAGCCATTACT